CCCAGTAGTTTGTGTCCCTTCCCCTCCCACAATGGTGAGATCTCCTCCAATAGTTTGTCTCCCTGCCCCTCCCACAATGATGAGATTTCCTCAAGTAGTTTATTGTCTCTGTCCCTCCCACAATGGTGAGATCCCCTCCAGTAGTTTGTCTCCCTGCCCCTCCCACACTGATGAGATTTCCTCAAGTAGTTTATTGTCTCTGTCCCTCCCACAATGGTGAGATTTTTCCCCAGTAGTTTTGTGTCTCTGCCCCTCCCACAATGATGAGATTTCCTCAAGTAGTTTATTGTCTCTGCCCCTCCCACAATGGTGAGATTTCCTCCAGTAGTTTGTGTCTCTGCCCCTCCCACAATGGTGAGATTCCCTCCAGGGTCGGTTGTCCTGCCCTGCTGAAGAGAAGAATAGATCTACGGCCTCATTTACGCAGGCAACAAAGGGTTGGTAAGAACATTTGGTTTATCTGCTATTTTTGTGTCCCCTGACTGCCCACATAGAACTTCTCCAGTTTGTACACATGCTGCATCAAATTTTATACAGCAAGTTTTGCAAGAGGTACCTCCCAGGGGTGTCCCCATAATGAGGCAGTTTGAGGCTGTAGCCTCAGGTGGCATCTCATTGGGGACGCGGCAGCACAGTCGACTAACAGCACAACCTAACCCCTGAACAGCCCTGGGTGCTGCTTGCCAAATGCAACCATTGCCCACAATAGGACTGCAAAGCAAGCTCTGTTCGCCATGCGATTGCAGAGCAGTATTGCAACGCAACACCCCCCGTGGGGAATATAAAAAGTAAAAAAATGCCGCGTTCAGGAAGTGATACTGTCGCCTGTAAAGCGTCTTCTGAAAAACGATTCACTGCAGGTTGCTTTTCAGAGGGCGGCCGCCTGTGTGAACTTATCCTAACAGGGGTGTTTGTGTTCTCCTGCAGGGAATTGTGCGGACAGCTCACCCATCTATCACAGAGCCTTTGCTGGCAGTGCTGCGCTCCATGCACCTGGAGGTGCACTATGAAGGTAGGTGCAGGATGGAGATAGGTGCGGTATGAGGGTAGGTGTAGTATGAAAATAGGTGCGGCAGGAAGGTAGGTGCTGTATGAAGGTAGGTGCGGTGTGAAGGTAGATGTGGCAGGAAGGTAGGTGCAGGATGAAGGTAGGTGCGGTGTGAAGGTAGATGTGGCAGGAAGGTAGGTGCGGTGTGAAGGTAGGTGCGGTATGAGGGTCGGTGCGGTATGAGGGTCGGTGCGATATGAAGGTAGGTGCTGTGTGAAGGTAGGTGCAGGATGAAGGTAGGTGCGGTAGGAAGATAGGTGTTAGGTAGGTGCGGTGTGAAGGTATGTGCGGCAAGAAGGTAGGTGCGGTGTGAAGGTAGGTGCGGCATGATGGTAGGTTCGGTAGGAAGATAGGTGCGGCATAACGGTAGGTGTGGCATGATGGTAGGTGCGGCAGGAAGGTGGGTATGGTAGGTGCGGCAGGAAGGTAGGTGAGGTGTGAAGGTATGTGCGGCAGGAAGGTAGGTGCGGTGTGAAGGTATGTGCGGCAGGAAGGTAGGTGCGGTGTGAAGGTAGGTGCGGCAGGAAGGTAGGTGCGGCAGGAAGGTAGGTGCGGCAGGAAAATGCAGCCCGCATGATACAATGTTACACAATATTCCTTCTATAAAAATGAGAGACCTTCATTTGCTGCTCTGGGAATGCTGGGACTTCTAGTCCGCTAGGAAGGGTGACATTCTTTGCCTTACTGTCCTCCGTGCCATACTCATCCCTGGATCTGCTCTATGGCTGTGTGTAGTAGTATAGTCTCTTGCCATGGTCAGCCAGAAGCTGATTTGTCTGACTCGTTGCTGCTGCAGCGTGATCTCACTTGTACAAAGCTCTGAGCGGCTTAGAGGGGGCGGAGTGTAGTCTGTGCTCATTTACATACCCATGATGCACTGCTAGATGTCCCGCGTGTAACACAGTTTATTTTGTATTTGTTTATTATATTTAGTTTATAAAAATAATTTGTGGAACTGTTAGCAAGTGAGAGAGCCGATGAGAAGAAAAGAAGCGGAAGTGAAATGAGTCGGAGGATTGAGGTCTCTGTGACATGTGCAGGGACCGGGCCGGGTTCGGACGAAGCTGCTGGCGGTACAATGTATACTCTGGTTTCTCTTCAGATCGAATAAATCTTTCGCCTTTTACTAAAGATTTCCGTGGAGAGGAACAATTATGAGTTTCATTCAATTTTTTGAGGCTCAGCGCAAGCTGGGCTAACCTGATTGGTCAAAAATAGAAAGTAGTGATTCAATGGATACATTGTAGAAGTTCACGTGAGATGTTTTGGTGTAACATTGTATCTTTCATTTACTTGGTGGTGAGATTTATCTCTGTGTCCTCACTGAGCGGGGAAGGGATGCTAAGGGTGTTTATTGTGTTTTGGGATCCTTCTTAGAGATGGGCAAAACGGTTCATCTGCATGAGCGCTCCTCTACGGATCGCTCACTGAAAAGATCCGGATCTATTAAACGGCTCATGGTTCACTAAACTGCTCTTTTTACTATAGTAGGAGAGGAAATGAGAAGGGGGTGTAGTTTGAGGGAGGGAACAGGAGTTATTTTTAAAGTAAAACCATTGCTTGTCTGTTATGCAGAATACCCCCAACATTCCCACCAGCACTATAATGCATTGCTGGGACTTGTAGTCCTACATAGTTGGTGCTATTCTGCATTGCTTTATAATCATCATCCAGCAATGCAGAATACCACCAGCTATGCAGGACTACAAGTCCCAGCAATACATTATAAAAAAAAGTCAGCTGTACAAAATATCTCTCTGAGCGGATCTCAATCAGTATAATTGAGAAGGCGCAAGGAGATAAAGAACTATATCATTCCAATCTGGATCCATTGAGAGCCAGATTCAAAGATGCAAAGGAGCCAAAAGAACCAAATCATTCCTGAGTCTGTCTGACTCTTCGAGATCCATCTCTGTTGGTTCACAGATGTGATCGGTTGTACGGGTGGGCTGGCAGAAGCCTGGCTCTCACTCTAAGATCATATTACAAGAGCAGCTCTTGTTTCACTCTCTACTTCTACATTCCATCCACAGAGAGCACAGACCAGAAGAACCGCCGCTCATTTTTACTGAGCCACCGCTCTTTCATTCTTCTGAGGGAGCCGCTCAATAGATCCGGATCGCTCATAATCTACCCATCTCTAATTCCTTCTTGGTATCTGATACATTGTAGGTGATCACATGAGATGTCTTATTGTAACTTTGATTCATTTGTAGCGGCTGAGATATACTCATGAGCGCTGGTATAAAGGGATGGGGTTTGTTGTGTTTTGGGGTCGTTCTTGGTACCTCCATTAATTTAACTTAAATGGGATTATTTTCCCAAAATAGAAAAGGAATAATTATAATGATTTTATCCCTAATACTTGATACAATAACGTGCTCAATAATGATGCATTGATCTGTTTTTTTGGAGTCACTGGTCATCTTTACTGTTATATTTCACTACGTTTTCTCCTCCTGTCTATGTGTTATGTAAGGGAAATTACGTCTTTATATATATTTGTTTACAAAAAAAAAGGTCATACAAGAATAAAATTTGCATTTTGTATTTGCTTTTGAGCAAGTAAAGCACGGCAACCGGGTGCAATGCATTGGCTCGGGGCCACACCAAATTAAAAAAAATTCTGTCTGCAGCAGGTGCCCGATAATCAGGAATTCTATTTTCTGCTCTACCGGTGGGCGTGGAGACTAGTTTGGCCCCGCCTACCCACTTGCTGCTCCCATAATCCTCAGCAGTAGACTCAGATCCGTGTTCCTCATTTGCATACCACTAAACCGGCGGTGAGAGAGTTTTTTGGGGCGGATTTATATAGTTTGTTGCATTTTTCTGTCTCACGTGTTGTGTTCACTCCTTTGTATCATCACAGTGAATATTGAAGATGTATGATATACGCCGAGAGTGAATCTCCAACAGGTGAAGGGGGCCGGTGTGTCGGCGGGGGGTTCTCTTTCTCCTGCTGTCAGTATACTCTGGTTTCTCTTCAGATCGAATAAATCTTTCGCCTTTTACTAAAGATTTCCGTGGAGAGGAACAATTATGAGTTTCATTCAATTTTTTGAGGCTCAGTGCAAGCTGGGCTAACCTGATTGGTCAAAGAAAGAAATAGAATTATCATTAGGTACATTGTAGGTTATTCTGTGAGATGTCATATTGGATCTTTGTATTGTCTTTTTCATGTGTTGGTATCAGGTGAGATTTTTCTGAGTGTTGGCAGGGAAGGGATGTTATGGGGTTTATTGTGTTCTGGGATCCTTCTTGGTATGTGATATATTGTAGGTGATCATGTGATATGTCTTATTGTAACATTGTATCTTTCATTTGTTTGTAGTGGGTGAGATGTATTAAAGGAGAACTATGAGGAGAGGGGGGGGGGTGCTTTTCACTCACCTCATAGTTCTAGCCGACCTGTGACAATGAGACTGTCACAGGTCGGCTCAGTAGATCGGGAGGTGAGCGAACACATGCCGGTGTTCGCTCACTTTTCGATCCTGTCACGGCGATGGATTCCCCCCGATCCGCCAGCGCTGACTGGCGGAACGGACGGGGTGGGGTGGGGGTACAGGCTATCTAGAGGCAGAGCCAGCTGTCACTCACGCAGCTGGGCGGATCCAGACATAATTGTCGGGATCCGCTCCAGCTGCGGCGTCTCAGTATACCGCGAGCTGTAGCTCTTGAGGATTGGTCCTGTAATCAGTACCTTGGTTCAGAGGTGTCACAAGTTTGGTTTTCTGTCAGACCGGCCATTCTATCAGATCAGCCACTTCTGGTGACGCGCGATCACCTAACTGTGTTTCTGCGCATGCGCACCGCATTCTGATGAGCTGATGTCACATTGGTAGCGGTCAGATTTGTCCCTAGTGTTTAGAGCGCAATAACAGTTCGATTTACTACCACGGGTACTGCGTCCACGGTACTAACATCGTATCGTTATTCCCACCCATAAGCTGTAAAGACCGGACACATTTCTCTGTATTCTGTCTGCAGCACGTGCACGATCATCAACAATACTACGGTATTACTGCTCTACTTGTGGGCGTGGAGATGAGATTGGCCCCGCCCATCCATTTGCTGCTCCCATAATCCTCAGCAGTAGACGTAGCTCCGTGTTTCTCCTTTGCATACCACTAAAGCGGTCTGTGACAGAATTTTATGGGCGGATTCATGTAGTTTGTTATATTTTTCTGTCTCACGTGTTGTGTTCACTCCTTTGTATCATCACAGTGAATATTGAAGATGTATGATATACGCTGAGAGTGAATCTCCAACAGGTGAAGGGGGCCGGTGTGTCGGCGGGGGGTTCTCTTTCTCCTGCTGTCAGTATACTCTGGTTTCTCTTCAGATCGAATAAATCTTTCGCCTTTTACTAAAGATTTCCGTGGAGAGGAACAATTATGAGTTTCATTCAATTTTTTGAGGCTCAGCGCAAGCTGGGCTAACCTGATTGGTCAAAGATAGAAAATCATTATCATTAGTTACATTGTAGGTGATCACATGAGAGGTCTTATTGTAACATTGTGTTATCATTTAGTTGTAGTGGGTGAGATATATTTCTGAGTGCTGGCAGAGGGGGGGATATGGATACTATGGGGGTTCATTGTGTTTTGGGATCTTTCTTGGTATCTGATACAGTGTTGGTGATCACATGACATGTCTTATTGTAACATTGTAAAAGTATCACCCTAACCGTCCCCTCCGCTCTTCAAATGACCTTCTGCTTTCCAGCTCCCTCATCAGCTCCTCCCATGCTCTCCTCCAAGACTTCACTAGAGCCTCTCCCATCCTATGGAACTCTTTACCCCAACCTGTCCGTCTATCTCCCACTCTGACTGCCTTTAGGACAGGGGCGCCCACAATTTTTCATCCTAACTGTGTTTCTGCGCATGCGCACCGCATTCTGATGAGCTGATGTCACATTGGTAGCGGTCAGATTTGTCCCTAGTGTTTAGAGCGCAATAACAGTT